TACCATTGTGACTTCCAACAAGGAGAAAAGGCATATGAAACCTAAAGTTTTACCCAGAAGGAATTAAGACAGATTTAGGTGATTTTAGGCTCATCAGTAGAAGCATAGTACTTAGAACAAGAGACATGATGGTAGTGTGGAGTAGAATGGCCAAGGCCTTGAATGCCAGGGCCAGTAGATGATAAGATGTAGAGGGACTGAAGCCTTGTGATAGAGGAGTGACACAATCAGAGTAGTGCTTTAGGAAGATCACTTAGCAGGGATGTAAAACAGATTGGAGAGAGAATAAATTGGGGGCAGGAAGCTCCACTTTGGAGGCTATTACAGCAGTGCATGCAAGAGGCAATGAGGGTATGAACTCTGTGTGTGTGTGTGTGTGTGTGTGTGTGTGTGTGTGCTGGAAACAGGAATTAAGTAACAGATGGAAATGATTCTTCAGAAAAGGAACAGGTAGGATTTGGCAGTCTTGGATGGAGAGGGCATAGTCAAAGACAACTCTCAACTTTTGAGCCTTGTTTACAGAGAAAATAGTAGTAATGTGCCTTCAACAGAAACAAAGTTGTTAGGGGCCAAGGAAGTTCACATGGAAAAGCTAGGCGATTTTGTTCTGGGTGTCGTGTGAGAAATCAGTGACTTATTGAAGTGGGGATATCCAGCAAGCAGTTGGAAATAGAGATCTATAGCTATGACAAGTTGAAAATAAAGCTAGACATTGGAGAGTCACCTGTAGCAACCACCAAGCATTTATTAAGCGTCTGCCATATGTCAGGCCAAGAGGGGAGTAAAGCATAAGAAAACTGAAAATGTAGGAAGACCAAGTTGTAAAGAGATTTAAATGTCAGACAGAGGCAGAAGCCATAAGAGTGCATGAGATCAGTATACTAAGTAAGTAAAAATGGATGGGAAGAGAGCCAAGGCATGAACCTTGGGGGTACCCACATTGAAGGCAGAGGAAGACTAAAGAAGACTGAGAAGAATTGGTGAGAGAGGCATGAGATTAGCCTCCAAAGTGCACTGTCGCAGCAACCAAGAGAGAAGTTAAGGAGAGATGTTCACCAAATATTACAGATAGATATACATACAGATAGAGAGACAGATGTGGTATATGTAATACATATATAATAAAGAAAAATGAGGACATTGACTTTAGAGGGGGAAAAGGTCACACAGTTGATATTAGAAAGAAATATTTAAAAAAGAGCAGCGAGAGAAGAAGCCAGATTATAAAAATTAGAGGAAGGAGAGAATGGGTAATGAGAAGGAGTAAGTGAAGTATTTATTCTAGAAGTTTATCAGTGAAGGGGTAAAAAAAGAGGTAAGGTGGTCTGCTTAAAAGCGTAGCTAAGGAAAGGATAATTTTTTTTTTTAAGAATGGGGAAGATCTGAGTATATTTGCAGGACAAGGAAGGGCCAGAGAGAAGGAGAGATTGAGGATGTATGGAAAGGTTTGTATACTCTGCATCTTCTCAATTTACCTTCAGTTGCCTCTCCTCTCTGACTGGAGGGCTGGATCTCCTTTAATAGAGGACTAAAACTGCTCTGGTAACTATTCTCCATCAGCAACTCTGCTTGGCTCCCACTCAGTAGAATGCCATGTCTCCACTCCCCCCACTCCTTGCTCCCCTCTCCTACCCATCCCCAAACCTTTCCAGCTGCTTTTTGTGTGTCGTCTTCTCCCAGTAGATTGTAAGCTCTTTGAGGTCAAGGAATGTTTCTTTTTCTTATTTGTATCCCCAGGGCTTAGCACAGTGCCTGGCACATAATAGGTACTTGGCAAATATTTATTAATTTGAATGGAATGAGAGGGAATGAAAGATAGAGCAAGATCATTGAGGAACAAGGTGATGAGAGTAAGTTTAAGATTGCAGGTGGAGTGGTTAGCTTTGGTGAGATTCAAGATCTCCCACTTCTGAGATGGATTAGATCCAGGGGTGGAGAGCCTGTGGCCTCAAGGCCACAGGCTCTCCACTCCTGACAGAGACCCAGAGGAGAGGAATTCAGGGAGTTTATTATAGATGTCCTTAGTATTCTTGGTAAAGAATGCATACAAAAATTAGGGACTGGGAGGAGAAGGCATAGGCTTGAAGGTCTGGGTAAGAACAGGGTATATGGAACAGCTGGGCAGATGGTAAGTCAAAAAACAGGTAAAAAATTGCCATGCAAAAGTCAAGTTCTCACACCCTACAACCTTCCCAAATGTGTCATTGTTCAGTCATTTCAATCAAGTCTGACTCTTCGTGACCCCATTTGGGGTGTTCTTGGGAAAGATATTGGAATGGTTTGTTATTTCCTTCTTCAAATGTACCCCACTATAAAGCCATACTGGATTATTTATTGTTTCCAAGCACATTCTAGGATTCCCCACTTCTTATTCATTGCTCTCATGGTATTTATTCCTGTCCCTTAGAATTCTTTCTCTTGTCTCTACTACTTCCATACTTGAAGTCCTACCCATTTTTTAAGACCAGCTCTAATGTCACCTGTTCCAGGAAGCTCTCCTTGACCCCTCAGAGAATATAATCTTTCCCTTCCCTAGACTTTCATAATATTTTTTGTATTTCTTTTAAGGCACTTATGATATTCTTCCATGGTTAGTCAGGTACTTGTCTTCCCTGTGCCTACTAAATTCTAAGTTTCTTGTGAGAATGGACTTCTTCATCTTATTCACCTTGTATCACCTAAAGTTTTGTTTTTGGTTTTTGGTTTTTGTTTTGTTTTGTTTTGGCTAGGCAATGGGGTTAAGTGACTTGCCCACAGTCACACAGCTAGTAAGTGTTATGTGTCTGAGGCCAGATTTGAACTCAGGTCCTCCTGACTCCAGGGCCGGTTCTCTATCCACTGAGCCACCTAGCTGCCCCATGTTTTGAAATTCCTTAAACATGCAGGTACCTGCTCCGTAAGAATATTAAAACTGAATTTGAAGTGTGAACCACAACGTCTTATACGCTCATCTTTTCAATTTGAGAAGTTGAGATAAAGAATGTGTACTGAAGTCTGACATGTGTAGAAGATGTTTTAGCTAGTGCTGTGAAAGGGAGAAAACCCTTTACAAAACCCTTTATTAAAACTCTTTAAATTTAAACTAAAAGACTCATGCTAAAAAAGATGCTTCAGCACAAAATATTATTTCTAAAAATGGACAATTGCCTTACGGTCTTGAAATGCAGAGCCATGAAAAGAAGAGAAAATAAAACTTGGAAAGAATCTTTTCCTATCTGTCTGTCTGTCCTTCTGTCTGTGATGTCACAAAGCACCAAAGCCTTCCCTCCATTGGCCACTCCCAGGTCCATGGTATTCAAGGCGTCTATTGGAATTCACAGCATGTGACCCCCCCCTTTCTATTGATTCTCCCTTAAGTCAGCACAAATTATGTGACACAATATTAATGCACAAGGGGGTTTGCCTAAAGCAGCCAGCCAAGTAACAAGGAGTCACAGTAAGCAGTGAGCGCTCTCACCACCCATATCCCAAAGCCACTACTTTTCCACACAAGTCATCCATGAAGTGTTGGTTTCAGATCCTGATGATCCATTCTGAGTCCATTCTGCTGCCTCCACAACATAGCAGAAGCAGCATACCCCCAGTCAGTCATGACAGGCTGGTAGGTGAGCATCTGCAGCCATAGCATTGAGTGCATTGGGCTTTTCACCATGGCGCTTCATGCAAAGACATTCAAATTAAAGTTGTAATTCAGGAAGAGCATAATTTTAAGTCCAGAAATCTGGAGGCAGAAAAAAAAATTACCTCAAGTAGGTCAAAAACCATGGAGTTCATATAAATTGTGTGCAACAAATGCCCAAGAAACAGATATTTCTTAAATGTTTAACCCAATGTTACAGTTTGAAAAACTCAAGAGCAAATTTCCTTTTGAAAAGATTATCCTTATTGAACCAGTATGCCTTCAATCAAGTCAGTAAGTTCAAATAAAAAAGAAGAAATTGAAGGTAAAATGTTGTTGTAAAACTGAATTACAAATGTATTTTGTAGGTTTTCCTGTGGGTCTCCTTAAAAAAATTTCCAAAGACTTCTTTGCTCTTTATGTGAACTGAACTCTTCCTTCTACTTTATGATCCTAAAATGAAAAAAAAATATGATGTATTGGGAAGAGTATTGGGTTAGGAACTAACTTGTTTCACCTCTCATCTTGACTGACATGAACTGAATATTTGACCTTGGAAAGCTACTTAACCTCTCAGCCTCCGTTCACTCATCTTGAAAAGGAGGAAATGTTGAACTAAATGGTCTCAAAGTTTTCTTCTTTTTTCAGGATTCATTCCATGAATCATAAGAAAAAAATCACCCTTGGTTTCCAAATTAAGAGGCAGGATTTATTGGCTATCTTTGGGAATCATCTCCTTTTATAATGTAGGCTATAAATTCAGAACTGTTGATTGGTTGGAGAGACATATTATTTCTTGAGAGGAACTCAATGTACTCTCCAGCACCTCTGTCCTTAAAATTTGACTTTTACCACAATTAAAACATGTTATTAAAAATGTGTCCTATTTGTATACTGCCCTATAGTCTGAATCATGCTTATCCAATGAGCAGACTTAATAGTACAGATAAGGTCTCTGGGTTATGTTTCTATTTTACCATTGCCTTGCTAAAAGACCTTGGTCATACTGTTTTCTTTTCTTTCTCACTTACAAAGGTGATATTTCCAGGAGCAAGGGAAGATTTTAGGAAGATTCAAGAATAAGCTTATCCATGACCTTTTAGTTAGAGGAAAATGTTCCTAGGAAAGAATGCATTTATTCATTCATTCAACAAATACTATGTGATTTCAAGATGCTTACTATATAATAGGAAGAAGTAATATCATAATTGTCCCTCTATGTATTTTAGGTACTGGGTACAAATCTTTAAAGGAAAATTTTAACCAGTTTTTCAAGATATTGTCTATTAAGTGCTCATCAGTATATATTCGAAGACCACACTGGCAATTGGAAAATATTCTGTAATAATAAAAACTTGTTTTGGTCTTATTTTTTTTAAAGGAAAAACTGGTCCACTTCCTGGATTGTCCTTTCTAATCAGAAAATAGAATTCTACAAAGAATCTAAGCAACAAGCTCTTTCTAATCTGGTAAGTAGTTATCTCTTGACTGCTCTCATCTTTTCAGAAATATTATTAAATATAAGTTTGGTATCATCAAAAATCTCACCATGCCTTCAGGCCTCTAACATCTGAAAGTAGATGCAGGAAATGACTCAATAAACTTCTAATCAGATGAGAGGGAATGGAACTTAGTGTCTGTTTTATTAAGTGGTACATTTGGAGAATAATTGCGAAGTGAGATGAATGGTGAGTGGCTATCTAGTAATGTGAAGGTAACACTTTAAATTGAGATGCCATTTATAAATGCTTTATGCTTATTTATGAAATGATCACTAAATGCACCTACTTGCTCAAATAATGTATTATAAAGTATGTTATAAAATGCATTAGTAATAAATGCTTAATGGATGAGGCTATGGGAAGCTGTTGTAAAGAATATTATGAGACGTAAATTGTATTAAGCCATATATGTGCATCTTCAATACATGAATTTAAGTTGTTATCCAGCATGCGATAAAGCGCTTCACACATTAATAAATAATAATCAACTGTTTATAAATGGTACCTTAATATAGGGTATACCAGTGGGGAAATACTGTAAGTTAGCAAAGTGATTTTTTATCTTAGTCTAATTGTGACACCCACCATATCCAGCTGACCTCACTGGATATTTCTTATGACTCCATCTAATGCAACTAATAGAATTCTTGTATCTAATAGCTACTAAAAAGTAAAATTTGCAGTACCTCGGTATTGTACCTGGAGGAGAGACCACAGATGTCTGTCTTTAGGAATTTGACAGTCAGAACACTAATAGTAATGGCATATAGCCCTTCAGTGCTATCTTAGGGATGTTGTAGCCAGCAAACTCCTCCACAGTGTCCCAAATGCAAAGGAAGTCACTACTGAAGAAGGACCAAGGACATGTTTGACAGAATCTGATTGTGAATGGCTCCCAAGGCTGAGCTAACCTGCCATACCATGTTGAAGTGATGGGTAGCTGGGAAAGGTGCATGCCTGGCAGGAGTCAAAAACAATAACCTAATTTATATTTGGCAGGTAATGAAATGCTAGAGAGTTCTCTGCTCTCCAGCCATGAGTAATGTTTCCTATGTAATCCTCTTTACATGGGAAAAACAAAATCATTCACTAAGGGACATTCATTAAAGGAGGAGATTGGAGGAAGAACAAAAGGCGGCATTTGGTTTGTTCTGATAATTTCAATAGCCTTTTATCCCCAAGTGGCCAGCTGGTTTCAGAGTTTTGATGTGGTCCAATCAGGAAATTAATTATGAATAAATTAAATATACTTGAATCTTTTGTAATGAGTTACTTTTGACTGTCGCAGAAATTTGTGTCAGTGCTTTGGTTTTTTTGTTTGTTTGTTTGTTTGTTTTTTTGTTTTGGCCAGGGTAAATTTAAGATAATCTCTTTTAAGGGAATGAAGTAACCTGAAGGACAATCTGGAGGCAGGGAAAAAAAACCCTCCTATTCCAATGCCATCCCCTTGGCTTTTTCTTTGGATCAATTCTGATATAGAGGAGGTGGGGAAATGAAGAGAAATTGTTTGCATTGCTCAAGCTTTGCTTCTGAGAAGATCATCTTTGTCCTGCTGAGTGAGAAGAATACTGTTGGAGCTGAGTTTATATGAATGTGCTGGGCTAATGGGAGAGATTAGGTTCCAAATTAAAGCATTTGGTTTAGTTTAGTTTCTCCTCCCCCCTTAAATCTCTCTTACCAGGAGATGATGCACTTATCAACTGCTTAATTTTATCCAGGTGGGAGAAAACTCCACTTAAAGTTAGCTGAATATTTAAAAACCCAGATCACTAATTAGGTTTCTTCGGTTTAAAGACAATTGAGTCTTCAGAGCCACTGCAAAAAATCACAAACTCTTTGACTTTTAGAAGAAGAAAAAAGAAATTGGTAAACATATCTTGGCAGTACTAACAGAGTACTCCTGGCTCTGTTTTCGGTGCCCTTATTTATTTTTTTCCCAGGCACTCATTGTCTTCAAAGGGAGTTGAGGGCAGGAACTAAATGTGAGCTTTGGTAATAGAGATGAGAGTTAAAAGCTCTTGTTTATATAGCCTGAGTTGTCTTACTACTTGTCTTCTTAGATTTGATTCTAAGTAAGTATTAGAGCCTTAGTAGGATCACCACATTGACCAATCCCTTTCTCAAAGAGATGATATGCTGATTGCCAAGCGTTGATTAAAGATAATGTGGTTTATTTTGAAAGAGTTTCATGATAAACTTTCAGATTTTTGTTCTTACGCATTTAACTCATGCTTGCATGTGTTTCATTGTGTTAGGGTGGAGGAGGAATTCCTCCCTTTCATCCAAGAAGTCATGTGAAACTGCTCTTGACTAATGACAGGGGTTGAAAAATGTAGAAGGTATTGGTTCAACCCATTTTGACAATTAAGTACTTGAGTGCTTGATATGAATTGAGCTAATCTAGGCATTCAAAGCAGAGAAAATATGCTAATGGACAACAGTCCAAGGAAACTACCACCAGAAACTCTCCTCAATAGGAAATACATATTCACATGTTGTGCTGAGTTTATTAACCTATTAGTCTTTTTTCCTAATATAAATTTAAACTCTTCAATGTGACATTTTAAAGTCATCCACAATCCAGCTCCTTCCTGCCTTTCTAGACCTATGTCATATTCCCCACCACCCTGCTGCACTTTGGCTTCCAACCAAACTGACCTAATGACTAGCTGTTCACCAAACTCAACACTTTACCTCTCATCTCTGTGCTTTTGCCCAGAGCACACTTTAACTTTATCTTTGCCTCAGAGTATCCCTGGCTTCCTTAAAGGCTCAGCTTAAGTATGCTTCCTACAGGAAGCCATTCCTACTCCTTCAGGGGTTCTTTATACCTCCTGGTATTAGCTTATTTTTATACATGTCATATCTTCCCAATAGAATGTGCAAGTCCTTGAGGGCTGGTGTTGTTTTGTTTTTAATCTTTGTATTTCTAGTGACTAATGTAGACAATGGCATGTACAAAGGAGCACAGATTTCGAGTTGGAATGAGCTTTAGAGACTATCTTATCTAACACTCCCTCCCCTACTTTACAAATGAGGAAACTTGGGTGAGAGAAGTTCACTGACTTGCCCAGGAGTATAAAGTACTGAGTTTCAGTCCTAGTACTTCAGTCTTCTTATACCTTACTCCACAAAATATAGTCTTAGAGCCAGAGCCACTCATCTCCTGGCTGTTTGAGGAACAAGACATTCAATTTCTAGGCTCTTGGTATTTTCTCAGACTGTCTCTCATTCCTGGAATACTCTCCCTACTCCCCTCTGACACTGACCTCTCTGGTTTCTTTTGAGTCCCAACTAAAATCTCATCTTCTACAAACCTTCCCTAATCTTTTTAATTTCAGGGGTTTCTCTTGTTTAATTATTTTCTATTTATGTTGTGTATAGCTTACTTTGCACATTGCCTCCACCTTCAGATTGTAAAATCCTTGAGGGCAGGGACTGTACTTTTCCTCTTTGTGTATTTTCAGCACTTAGCACTGTGTCTGGCATAAAGTAGGTACTTAATAAATGTTCATTGATTAGTTGATTATGAGGATGATTTGCAAAGAACTCATCAGTCCATTCACATTGAGAGATATACAGACAGGAATCCACTAAGATTAGCATATATATCAAGACAACCAGCAAATCTGAATTTCTAGTTACCTTTTCATTTTTAAACTGCAGAGTTCAGGATGTCTGGAGGCTAAACGTGCCCAGAGCCAAAGCTTGGGGGCTAGAGTTTGAATCCAAGAATAAATCACTCCATCCAGGTATCCCATCTCCTTAAATGTTTAATAAAGCTGAAATCTAGTTAAATTGAATATGAAGGAGAATTTAACAGATTCTGTCTCAGAGGTGAATAATGAAGTTATAGTAAGAGCGTAAAATTACTGGCTTTAGAGCTGAAAAGCTTCTTAGAGATGAACTAGTCCAGTCCTGTCAGTTTTATGGATGATGAAACATTTCAGAATCTATCTTTTGAAAGTTACATAATGGATAGTGTTGATTGCCCTATCATCTCAAATTCACTTCTTTTTGCTTCATTCTAACTTCAATGATTTTCAGATGGACAAAATTGCATTATTCAGATAGGAAATAGTGATAAGACTTTCATTGAGAAAGTAGGTACTGAGTGCTTCAAGGTATCTGAGGAATGTAAAAGGGGAAAGGAAGAAGCATTTATGTAATGTTGTCTGTGTGCTGGGCATGGTACTAAGTACTCTCTTCAGAAATATTGTCTCATTTGATCCTCGTAACAATACTGTGAGGTAGCATCTTCATTTTACAGATGAAGAAACAGAGACAAACAGAGGTTAAGTGATTTTCCCCAAGTCACATAGCTAGTGATCGTCTGAGGCCAGATTTGAACTCAGGTCTTCCTGACTCCAGGCCTAGGGCTTTATCCACTCTCCACCAGCTGCCCTTAGGAAGATAAACAAGATGTGGAAAAAAATTGATGTTATTAATACCAAAAAAATGGTGACTAAAAGGATGATGACAATTGCCAACATATATGTGCCTTCATTGCCATCTGCTAGAGGCGGGCCTCATGCTAGCACTCTCTCATTTCAGGTACATATTACTAGGAAAGGGAATATTTTTTCAATAAATACCACTGGAAAAACCAGAAATCAGTCTGAAAAAATGAATAGGTGTAAATTCTAGGTGAATAGATCATCCAAGTATAAAAAAATCAGACCATTAAAATTTATAGAAGTTAATAGAATTCATAGTTATGAATGGGATAAATTCATAAACAGATAATGATAGAGGATAACAATAATCTTAATTATATGAAATTAAAAAGCTTTTACAAAAATAAAACAAATTTAGCCAAACTAAAAGGAGTATAGAGAAAACCATTGGATTAAATATCTCTAATGAAACGCTAATATACAAAATCTATAGGAAATTGGCATAAATGAGTAAGATTAAATACCCTTCCCAGAATTGGTCAAAGTACATGAACCGATAATTTTCAAAAG